GTGTAGTGTGTGTGTGCGTGTAGTTATTATATATATATATATATATATATATATATACACATATTTTATGTTTACTAATGCATAAAAAGTCAAATGAAAGGAGGAAGAGAGTGAAGAAATATAAGTAAATTGATGCATGCTTTGTATTGCTTCAGGACATTCAGAACTTTGAGTCACATGGCTATTGATAGCATAAGAACAAATCAACATGACGACACTATCAGTATTCAAAGTACCTGATGTGAACTTTGCTACTTACACGAGTCTAGAAATACTGAATTTATCATAGAAGTTGTAACAGAATTTCCAAAATTATATGACTTTTTCCAGGAGCCCAATTTAAATTTCCAGGGCTTTCAAATCACACCACACAGGTTTAAACTTACATTTCCTGCCATTTTCATTCATCAAATGTGAACATCAGTGGAAATTACAACAGTCTTAGGTCTCTCAAGGCCCAAGATTCAAAATGGCCAGCACAAAATATAAACAAACTTGATTCCAATAACCAAACATTTTCATTGTAACATTTATTTAATTATGCCAATTATTTTATGGATAATTTATGGGTAGAAGCAGAACATGTTACCAGTGCTAAAAATTTTCAAGCAATCACATACAAACCTTTTCTTCAGGCCTTGCCAACACATGTGAAATCATCATTTCTAACAGACTTGTAGAATAAGTTCCTGCACAGCCATGTTTTAAAATGATGACTCAAATATGAAACAAAATTTTAAAAAAGCCAGAGAAACCAAGCATGACTTTTTTTGCAAGATTTTTACATACTGGTTCCACTATCAATTTCTGTACCCAATATGGAACCTTCCCACCTAAAAAGAAGCAGACATATAATAAAGCCCACTAAGAAATTCTGAAATCACGAGTGAAAGCAAATGTGGATACATTATAATATATCAATCATACTATATCTGCCTTATTCAGTTCCCATGAGGCCTATCTCCCCATAATAGGGTTCAGAAGGCTGACTGGGAGATGACACACACATTATTAGTCTAGGTGCTACGAATATCATTGATTTTCATACACAACAACTGTTATATGACATAAATGAGATTAAGCAATGATTTGTAATTATTATGAATTTTATTTAAGTTATTTACAAATCACATTTTTAGGGCAAGAATTAATAACACAACATTATATATTTTTCACTCTTTACTTAACCCTTTCGCCCCGGGTACCCTTTACTGCGCATGACACAAGGTTTCAGAAACAGTATCATGTTCTGTGAAAATCTTAAAAAATTGAACTTTC